CCACATGAGTCTTTCTGTAAGAGTGAGATATGTAAGAGTCTTACTTTAAGATCAAGACTTCGACTGTGATCCCATTTTCTATGACAATGTGTCCTACTCTTATTTCTGTAAGACCCTAAAGTCTTGTGTTATTTTTTGAAGGCTCATTCTGTGATCTGGTAAGACCACTTTATTAGGTTCGATCGGACCACTCTGTGGTCCTCGACCGGTTCTGAAGAAATACTGTGTGGGATTTTGTGAAAGATAAGTAAATAAAATATTATTATCGGAGCACTGTATTGTAAGTTGTATTCATCTTTGTTGATGACAGCTCGAATACCACCTGCAGGCTCCCCCCCCCCCCATCCTTCCCCAAGGGTTTTGCTTCCGAATTTGCTGTCATCAGACTCACCAGGGCTGTTTGGAAGATTAAATCACCAGGGTTATTACTCGCCTTGAAGATGTATATCTTTCAGGTATTGAAACTATAGCACCTGGGAAACGTAAATGACCTTTATCTATGTTTTTAGGTTTGACCCGCCCCTCACGACCTCGAAGTGGTTAGCCCTATTCACTTAACATCGACCCTAGGTACTGAGTACTAAACAGGCGGATGCCAAACAAAATAGTAATTTACCTGGCTCATTGTAATGACAGCCAGTGACCTTTACACGTTTAAATGAGGCCATTATTGTTGGCTTCAGATGGAACACGTCGGACACCTGCATTCTGTTGTCTGCTTGGCACATTAAACGTCGTCTGACAATTATCACTTGTCCATATTTTCGACCAAGGATCTTCATCTGTGGATAATGTCCACAGTAAAAAGAGTTCTCTCTACGTCGTTTGATATACGAATGAGCTGTAAGGAAAATACTTATCCTGTGACTCTTGTTTCACTTGCTAATAGTCCGTAACTAATCACAGCAGAATGTCTGGCGTTAGTGCGCGAAGAAGAGCCAGTTATCTCTTCCACAGTTCTTCCTAGAGATTGTCATTGTCTATGGATTTATAATGTACAGGAAATACGGCCATGAATGTCTGTGTTTCAATGTAGTGTGACCCGGGTATGACCCGGGTATGACCCGGGTGTGACCCGGGTATGACCCGGAACATTTCGTTACATCTTCACTCGCTGAAAGCAAACTGCAGTCTCCCCTACCAGCCACCGTACTATCCTTTCCAGGGAGGTTCTGCTGACATATGGTTTACAGACGTTAGGTGCCGGTACTTGCCACTGAACACAATCAAGGATTACTGTTTCCTTGAGTTCTACATGCGGGTTGTAGGTAATAATGCCCTTAACTATATTATCAAGTTCGAGGCAAATTATCTCGAATTTTTAATGGTCTGAAGAAACAGCAGTTCCTTCAGAGTAAGACGTGAATGTAACTTCTGGCAGAGACTAACACAAGAAGGTCAGAGGTCTTGTGACTCCTGACTAGCATATGCAACTGATCTGTGATCAGTTTCAGTCTAATTTTGCTTGATAATGGTCACATGCAAGTCGAGCTGTTGCACTGGTGTACATACTGATCTATCCTCATCTCCAGATGTTGGAATACGTAACAGGGATCATAGCCCCCTTTACAGGGGGTCACTGCCCCCTTTCAGAGGGGTGATATCGCCTCCCCTTTGACTGGAAAATTTCATCCACAACTATAGGAATGTTCAACATCAATGTTTATGTCAACACTGTAGGGATGTTCAACATCAATGTTTATGTCAACATCATCTGTAGAAATGTTCAACTCATGTTATGTTAACACTGTAGGAAATGTTTCAACATCATGTTTATGTTAACACTGTAGGAAAGTTCAACATCAATGTTTATGTCAACACTGTAGAAATGTTCAACATCAATGTTTATGTTAAAACTGTAGGAATGTTCAACATCAATGTTTATGTTAACACTGTAGGAAATGTTCAACATCAATGTTTATGTCAACACTGTAGGAAATGTTCAACATCAATGTTTATGTTAACACTGTAGGAAATGTTCAACATCAATGTTTATGTCAACACTGTAGAAATGTTCAACATCAATGTTTATGTTAACACTGTAGAAATGTTCAACATCAATGTTTATGTTAACTGTAGAATGTTCAACATCAATGTTTATGTAACACTGTATAAATTTTCAACATCAATGTTATGTTAACACTGTAGGAAATGTTCAACATCAATGTTTATGTTAACACTGTAGGAAATTTCAACATCAAGTTTATGTTAACGCTGTAGGAAATGTTCAAGATCAATGTTATATGCAACACTGTAGGAAATGTTCACATCAATGTTTATGTTAACACTGTAGGAAATGTTCAACATCATGTTTATGTTTACACTGTAGAAATGTTCAACATCAATGATTATGTTAACATGTAGAAATGTCAACATCAATGTTATGTTAACACTGTAGAAATGTTCAACATCAATGTTATGTCAAACTGAAGAAATGATTCAACATCAATGTTTATGTCACACTGTAAAATGTTCACATCAATGTTTATGTCAACACTGTAGAAATGTTCAACATCATGTTTATGTCACACTGTGAAAAGTTCCAACATCAATTGTTTAATTCAACACTAGAAATGTTCAACATCATGTTTATGTCAACACTAAAATGTTCAACATCAATGTTTATGTCAACATCTGTAAAATGTTCAACATCAATGGTTTAGTCAAACTGTAGAAATGTTCAACATCAATGTTATGTCAACACTGTAGAAATTCACATCAATGTTATGTCAACCTGTAGAAATGTTCATACATCAAGTTTATGTCAACACTGAGAAATGTTAACATCATGTTTATGTCAACACTGTAGAAATTTCAACATCAATTTTATGTTAACACTGTAGAAATTTCAACATCAATGTTATGTCAACACTGTAGAAATGTCAACATCAATGTTTAGTCAACACGTAGAAATGTTCAACATCAATGTTTTTGTCAACACTGTAGAAATGTTCAACATCAATGTTTATGTCAACACTGTAGAATGTTCAACATCAATGTTTATGTCAACTGTGATAATGGTCAACATCAAGTTATGTCAACACTGTAGAAATGTTCAACATCAATGTTATTCAACACGTAGAATGTTCAATCAATGTTTAGTCAACACTGTAGAATGTTCAACATCATGTTTATGGTCAACCTGAAGAAATGTTCACATCAAGGTTATGTCACACACTGTTAGAATGTTCAACATCAATGTTTATGTCAAACATAGTAGAAATGTTCAACATCAATGTTTATGTCAACACTGTAGGAAATGTTCAACATCAATGTTTTTTAACACTGTAGATGTCAACATCAATGTTTATGTCAACACTGTAGAAATGTTCAACATCAATGTTTATGTTAACACTGTAGGAAATGTTCAACATCAATGTTTATGTTAACACTGTAGAAATGTTCAACATCAATGTTTATGTCAACACTGTAGAAATGTTCAACATCAATGTTTATGTTAACACTGTAGAAATGTTCAACATCAATGTTTATGTTAACACTGTAGGAAATGTTCAACATCAATGTTTATGTCAACACTGTAGAAATGTTCAACATCAATGTTTATGTCAACACTGTAGAAATGTTCAACATCAATGTTTATGTCAACACTGTAGAAATGTTCAACATCAATGTTTATGTCAACACTGTAGGAAATGTTCAACATCAATGTTTATGTCAACAATGTAGGAAATGTTCAACATCAATGTTTATGTCAACAATGTAGGAAATGTTCAACATCAATGTTTATGTCAACAATGTAGGAAATGTTCAACATCAATGTTTATGTCAACACTGTAGAAATGTTCAACATCAATGTTTATGTCAACACTGTAGAAATGTTCAACATCAATGTTTATGTCAACACTGTAGAAATGTTCAACATCAATGTTTATGTTAACACTGTAGAAATGTTCAACATCAATGTTTATGTCAACAATGTAGGAAATGTTCAACATCAATGTTTATGTCAACAATGTAGGAAATGTTCAACATCAATGTTTATGTCAACAATGTAGGAAATGTTCAACATCAATGTTTATGTCAACAATGTAGGAAATGTTCAACATCAATGTTTATGTCAACACTGTAGGAAATGTTCAACATCAATGTTTATGTCAACACTGTAGAAATGTTCAACATCAATGTTTATGTCAACACTGTAGAAATGTTCAACATCAATGTTTATGTCAACACTGTAGGAAATGTTCAACATCAATGTTTATGTCAACACTGTAGGAAATGTTCAACATCAATGTTTATGTCAACACTGTAGGAAATGTTCAACATCAATGTTTATGTCAACACTGTAGAAATGTTCAACTCAATGTTTATGTCAACACTGTAGAAATGTTCAACATCAATGTTTATGTCAACACTGTAGAAATGTTCAACATCAATGTTTATGTCAACACTGTAGAAATGTTCAACATCAATGTTTATGTCAACACTGTAGAAATGTTCAACATCAATGTTTATGTCAACACTGTAGAAATGTTCAACATCAATGTTTATGTCAACACTGTAGAAATGTTCAACATCAATGTTTATGTCAACACTGTAGAAATGTTCAACATCAATGTTTATGTCAACACTGTAGAAATGTTCAACATCAATGTTTATGTCAACACTGTAGAAATGTTCAACATCAATGTTTATGTCAACACTGTAGAAATGTTCAACATCAATGTTTATGTCAACACTGTAGAAATGTTCAACATCAATGTTTATGTCAACACTGTAGAAATGTTTAACATCAATGGGTAGAAAATGCGTATATGAACCTAGAATAAAATTTATTGTTAAGCTAATAATGGCTCTGGAGGAACCGAAATAGCACTAGTATCGTTTTATCGTTTGCAATTTGTTAGTTAGTTGTGAATGGTTTATCAGTGCTTGAAGATGCCCTCCTCTGCCCTGGATCAAATCTGTGTGAGCCTTGCGAGTTAAATATTTCTCTCTGAACATGATATTAATAATTATGATTGTTTGTGGTGGTGTAGGTACGCCTTCACCGTCCTGGCTAACCTGAGCGTGTTCACTATCACCTTCGTGGTGTTGAACACCAGTGCCAACCCACCCGGGCCCATCGGTACCAACAGTACTGCCAGTACCACCATGGTGCCAGTGACGGATGCCAGCGACAGCTTGACTTCCACTCTGAGCGGCGAAGTCGACTACAGCCACGATGACACCAACAGCATCGGACCAGAGGATACCACCAAGTTCAGAGTAAGATAATATGTCTGTCTTTCATCACCACCTTTATTTTATCTATCTTAGTATTAAGTGACAAAGATATTAGTCATTTATCTCAGACATTATCAAAGTTCTGGCAAAAACATTCCAGAACCCCTTCTGATCATGGTACGTCGGTGAAATATAAAGAACTTAAGGATATATCCTTGACTAATTATCGTGTAAGTCATATATGCCACACTGACGAATCACATGATTCATTCGTTAGACCCACTTGCCATGAGTCTAGAAGACACTTGACTAAATGTCTCAGACACGCCCACACTTGTCTAAACGTCTCAGACATTCCCTCAGATAGACCAATGCAGCTTCCTAAAGGACAGGAACTATAACGTTGAGTCTTCGACACTACTGTGTACGCAATACACAGGACCCGAGAATGATAACATGATTGAAGATACGCAGAGTAAACCGTACCACGGGCGGGGATAAAACCCGCGATTAGAGAGCCTCAAAACTCCAGACCGTCGCGTTAGCCACTGGATCAGCTAGCAACAATAAGACTCATCCAACTAGGTATATTTCTACACCATAGGAAGGTTAGCATAGGCACCACTGACCACAAATGCGACGGTCTGGAGTTTTGAAACTCTCTGATCGCGGGTTCTATCCCCACCCGTGGTATGGTTTGTTTGCAATCGTGTCATTACGATTTCGTAAGTCATGTTGACGGCAGTGAAGGGACTTGAGCTAGAGTTCGTCACGGCCACGCTAGCTTGAGATTCGTCTGTAAAAACTTGCATTTGTAGTCACAGTGGTGCCTATGTTAACCTTTCTATGGTGTAGAAATATACCTAGTTGGATGAATCTTATTGTGACTAGCTGGTCCAGTGGCTAACGCGACGGTCTGGAGTTTTGAGACTCTCTGACCTCGGGTTCTATCCCCACCCGTGGTATGGTTTGTTTGCAATCGTATCATTACGATTTCGTGAGTCATGTCGATTCGCAGAATATTCCTCGAAAATGATTCACGGGGACATGTTTGGAGGCACCAATATTCCACAGTTCTATTACTTACACTCATAGACTGTACTGGTAACTACATTATAGAGTACACGCGTAGTCTTTTTTTCAGACTCCAGCCGACTTATTAAGTCTCATTTGCAAACAGTTATTTTGTTAGGTTCGTAGTTAATTAATGATATAATAGTGAGTTTATCGCGATGGCATCACAAGATTGATGGACTGATTACATCGACTCCAGGCCAAGGGACTGATTACCTCAAACTTCTTATCACTTTCACTATTCTTCTTTGTATAGGACTGATGAAGCCAATATGTGGCGAAACGTTTCCTCAATAAAGATACCCAAGTGTTGGACATGTGTCTAATTTATCAACTTGTCGGTTCTCTGAACCATTTATCTTCATCTTTATTTAATAAAGGTTTGGCCTGCACAACAGGCCTTTTCGGTAGAATATAGGCGAGTATAATGCAAGAGACAGTAGTAAAAGTAGGAGGTGGTCACTTGCTCAGTGTTGGAGGTACCACTCTCCCTCTCCCATCAGTTGGAAGCTGTTTGTACACAATGCATGAGACTCATGCTGTGTGATGGAATATGACAGGGAACTATGGGTAACGTGTGTTCCCATTATGTACAGCGCCTGTCATTAATAACTGGGCAGTAGCGCAATCCTAATGTATCCAATTTTGCTGAATTAAACATAGCTAATTTCTCCACAACCTTCCACACTTCCTCCTCACCTTCTCTTGTTTCCTTTTCTCTCATTTCTCTTCCTCCTGACAGTTCTCCTCTATTTCCCATGTTTGTTTCCACCATTTTCTCACTCTCTTCCCTTTCTTCAACGAAGTTTCTTCCCTCTCCCCCCCCCCCTCCCTCACTCTCAGCCCTCTTTTCCCCTGTCATTCCTTCCTCCCATTTATTTCATCCTCACCAAGTCTTCATTTTGTTCTCCTTTCTTCTCCTCTTTCTCCATGCACCATATTATGTGAGGTGTTGCTTAACTCACTGGTGAGAACATTCGACTCACGATCGCTAGGTCATAGGTTCGATTTCCCAGGCATAGAAAAACGCATACACAAATTTCCTTACAGCCATGACCCTGCCTGTCCAGAATGGGCTTGCAAATTGTTGTGGGTAGCATCCTGCGATAACTGTCATATCCTGTATAAGAGTATCATATCCTGTGTAAAAAAAAAAAAACCCACTTCGGTCCCGTGTATCAAAACCCAGTACATATTGGAAGTACTTAAGTGTCGAAAAGAAAAAAATGATATGCGTGTATCTAGTGATGTTAAACCACCTCAACTTAGGATAATCAAGTTTATTACCAAGTTTATCTACCATGCTAGATACCTCCATCCTGACACTGATCTATCCCACTTAACTTGTAGACAAAGGTATGTAACCTTGAAAACCACTAGAATTAAATTCATTACCATGTGACAAAAGTCACTCTGGAACCTACCACTTAACCTCTCTTACTTTTTTTTCCTATGTAGCCTCAATCCTTCTCATTATTCCCTCGTCCCTCACTCCTTTCCTTCTCCATTCTTACCATCCCTCTGATGTCCTAAATAACATTGCCAGTATCTCGGTCGCAGTGTCAGTCACCATCAGTGTTCCCCAAGGTAGCATTAATTGTTAATATCATTAACAGGGAGGTACTACCGTCCTGCCAAGTGAGTGTAAAACTGAAGCCTGTAATTGTTTTACACGATGGTAAGATTGCTGGTGTCTTTTTTTTATCTGTCTCATACACATGCAAGATTTCAGGTATGTCTTGCTACTTCTACTTACACTTAGGTCACACTACACATACATGTACAAGCATATATATACACACCCCTTTGGGTTTTCTTCTATTTTCTTTCTAGTTCTTGTTCTTGTTTATTTCCTCTTATCTCCATGGGGAAGTGGAACAGAATTCTTCCTCCGTAAGCCATGCGTGTTGTAAGAGGCGACTAAAATGCTGGGAGCAAGGAGCTAGTAACCCCTTCTCCTGTATATATTACTAAATGTAAAAGGAGAAACTTTCGTTTTTCCTTTTGGGCCACCCCGCCTCGGTGGGATATGGCCGGTGTGTTGAAAGAAAGAAAGATCATTATATTCTTGAGGGAATGGAAATATCAAGTTTGATCCATGAAGGTGAAGATAGTTCCAAATTCCTGGGATCAAGGCAGCTTAAATCGACAATAGCCAGCTGAAGCTCTGGTAGTCACGTGACTAAAATCAGTTGGCTTACTCTTGTCGGCCATACTGGACGTGACTGCGCTGGAACTTACAATGACAAGCTTAGGGATAAACACAGTGCTCTAACTTCACGTGGTGAACAGTGTCATCTTCCTTCGCCTTTCCTATAAATTTATATTCTCTTTCCCACACATGGATGTCTTCCATGAAGCTTATAATGTAAGTATAAAAAAAAAACCTCCACCCTTAAAGTTCTCATAATTATTAAGTACCAAAATGTGGGAACAAGAAGGTTAATTCCAAGATCTCCACCTGGCAAATAGATTACGTTTTGTAACATTGAAACTCAACAGCTACAACATGAACATATTTACGATAGTAGTAGTAACAGTTTTGAAGATCAGGCGAAACACAACTACTTCTGCAGGAGTCACTGATGTAGCAACACCTCATGTATGGGATCTGTGTCTGGGAATCGACAACCACCAGCCATATTAAACAATAACAGTCTCACATAGTGATAATAACAATAGACAACCATCTCAACAAATCACCACATAACATTCAACATGCATCTCAGCCATTGATGACAGCAACAACCAAGAATCATCTCATTCATTCACCACACAACAACGATCAACAACTATCTCAACCAGTCATCACACAACAACGATCAACAACTATCTCAACCAGTCATCAAACAACAACCAGACCCGAAACAAACTCCAACTTAAATCAATACAAACCACGCCTACGCCTCTTTAATTCTAAAAATATGAAATGTGCAAACCTATATTTAGTCTGTAGAACTTTGAACTGTAATTTTAACCAATGCGTAAAGTTCTTTCTAAAAGACTAATTTCGTTGTATATGAAATACACACACACACACACACACACACACACACACACACACACACACACACACACACACACACACAGAAAGTGCAAAGGTTTGCAACAAGACTAGTCCCAGAGCTACGGGGATTGTCCTATGAAGAAAGGTTGAGGGAAATCGGCCTGACGACACTGGAGGCCAGGAGGGTCAGGGGAGACATGATAACGACATATAAAATACTGCGCGGAATAGACGAGGTGGACAAAGACGGGATGTTCCAGAGATGGGACACAGACACAAGAGGTCACAATTGGAAGTTGAAGACTCAGATGAATCAAAGGGATGTTAGGAAGTATTTCTTCAGTCATAGAGTAGTCAGGCCATGGAATAGCCTAGAAAGTGATGTGGTGGAGGCAGGAACCATACATAGTTTTAAGGCGAGGTATGATAGAGCTCATGGGGCAGGGAGAGAGAGGACCTAGTAGCAATCAGCGAAGAGGCGGGGCCAGGAGCTGTGACTCGACCCCTGCAACCACAAATAGGTGAGTACAAATAGGTGAGTACACACACACACACACACACACACACACATGTTAAAGTTGATAAATTATCCAAAAAATCTCTTGAGGCAAAACGTTGAATATAAATTCGTTTTGTCTGTGTCAAGTGTTAGAAATAATATATCAGTTAAATATTGTATTTGAAAATCGGATAAATAAAATTAAGAGCTTGAGTTGTTTATAACTCACTATGATAACATGAACGTAGATAAGCACATTTACGGAGGAACTTGTACAGTAAACAGATGGTGTAGCAGCCAGATTATGTCTTGGTTACAAGTATTTATGGGAGTTTAACATGTACACAGATGATGGTCAAACTACATGCAAACTATGTGGTTAACTTTTGGTCATTTTCTTGAACTAGATGCACTTAAGTGCCCATTAATAGACATAGTATAATAAACTACGTAATATGTCAG